TATATGCATGCATTTGGATTAATTTTGTTGCATATCCAGTTTAAGAAAGAGCTACCAATGCTAGCATGATAGGCTTTAATTACGAGAGCTTGAGCAAAGGAGGCGACTAGATTAGTGTTTTTGCGTATTCACTTTCTAATGCAACGGAGTGAGTAAAAAAGTAATCAAGATAACCACACTTGCGTGCACCATCACGCAACCCAAAATGATGGTTCACAAAGTGTCGTTAAGCCCAAATGACTGAGGTCAAGTGTTGTAATTACTTGGAGCCAAAACTGTTGACTTCGTGTCCTTATGTGTACATGAGTGGACACACATACATACAGAGATAGGCACATACTTCTAGGTTGCCATATGCCACCGACTAAGTAAAAGACAATATGCTTTGGGTTGAGAATGTATAAATCATGTAGACCTTTCTTGACTCACCAGCCAAAGGTAAGCAAAGTGCCCTACTCTGAAGATGTCATGCAAGTTTCATTCATCCCTGCCAGGTCGTCACCACAACACAAACGGGCTGACTCGCATGGCGTGCTAAGCTAACTTCCCAGATAGACCCAGAGACGACTGGCCGGGAGCAATCCGCTGTCGCCTTCTTCTCTTAATCACACTTTGCCTCAAAGAACGGAAGTGAGCTGAACAATCAAAGACAAGAAGTTCGTCAAAAAATAACTCTTCTTCGTATGGAACCCTGCCGCCTGAATGATGGGAATTTCCGTTTAAAAGCATGTAATCCCTTTCTCGCCTACTTGCGTGTCTACACAATCATTTTATGCTTTCTACTCGGAGATTACTTTCCCGCAGCGGTGACTCAGTGATTGCTCCAAAAGAGGTGAATAAAGCTGAAAGAAAAGATCAGCGCTCAAATTAATTGAAGCATGTCATTTTTCTAGGCGAGACGATATCGAGTGTCAGAAAAGTAGAAAATCTTTATCAGGAAATGGTATCAGATCTCATGAATTAAGGGGCAAGAATACTATGCATTTTACGAAGGAGGATGAGTACTGAACAAAAAGGTATGGAGGATTGGCACAGATCGAGTAGCAGAGCCAAGAATGTCCATCAGCTTTGCCTAAAGGCCTAACAATGCTGTGAGGTATAGAAAGATGTGTTTTTTTCACATGACATGTCATGCTGGAAGCAGACTTTCACTCAAATTGGCCGTGGCTTTTCATTCAAAAATGTGTAAGGAAACATGAATAGAATGAGAAAGTCTTCCTGCAGCAAACCTTCAGCTTGTGATGCTACCTCTTCTATCGGAAGATGTCTCTTTTATCCCAGCTTTGTGCTCAGCCAAGTGTGGTTGTCTGCGAACAAGTGAGCTGCTTATTTGACGATGGAAGCATGCACCATGACCGTTTTTGTACTACTTTCCAAATGTCCATCAGCGCATCCACCCCAGAACCGTGAACGGGCTTTAGCGAGAAAGAAAAACAGTCAAGGCATCGGAGACCAAGAGAGCCTGGGACTGGCCGAGAGCCTCCATTGAAGCAGCAAGCAAACCGAGCGTAATCGCCAGCAAAAGTTGTCGTGGCGGTTGGTGTCTCCGTTGGAGAGACGCGATGAGGGAGAACCGTTTCGACGTAAGCGTCTTGCCTGTCTGCGTCCAGATTGAGTCAACTCAGGCTTGAAGGCGTCCCGAAGTGATGTTGGTGGCTGAGCGAGTCCAGTGTTGGCGAGCGTGGCGTTTCCAGAGAAGAGGCTACGTTGGCGACCGAGTCCTGTGCCAAGCGTGGACAACTGAGACGCTGATGCCATGCGACTTTGTCGATTCATGCCACTTACCGACATGCTGACTGCAGCTCCAGCTCAGCCGATTCGTCCTCGCAAGTGCCCTCGGTGGGATTCGGAGTCAGGTGGACGTCGTGGTTCGAAGAGCATTCGAGTCGCCGGCTCCTTTGCGTCAGGACCCGCTCGAAGTGCCTCCATTAAAGGGCTAGATTGAGCGTAACGGCATGTCGTGGTGCCAGGTAGCGACAAATCACGTTGGCTCTGGAGAGTAATCGAGTGTCATGGAGACTAAACAAGTGATGTCTGTTTCCGTACCAGATCAACTAAAGCAAGAATAGCAAAGAACAGATGATGAGCGGGCTTGGAGAGGAGATGTGTACTTGCGAAAACTGGGCAGGTACAGTTAGTGCCCAACGGAACTGACCAGATACTCCGGAGCGAAGCAGAAGCAGTCAAGCAAAAAGAGAGAGAGAGAGAGGGAAAAAGAGAGAGAGAGAAGTGTGGTAAAGTAAAGGGATAAAACTGTTGCTAGAGTCTCCACTTGTCCGGACAAGGTGAAGAACCCGCATGCGACTCGACCTTCCATTTTGATAGAAAAGTTGCTCGGACAGAATTCGTGATTTGGGCTGTTGGCTTTTTTCGTAACTAATGCTCTCTCACTGCCACGATGTCTGCCACGGTGGTACAG